TTTTTTTTTTTTTGGTCGATCTCACTATATGTGAGTATTATGTACACCCGTATATACAATATTATGTACCTATAACATTTGATGTGTGGGTATTATGGTGGAATAAACACTCTATATATACAATGATAAACTATTCAATTAAGGGAAAGCAAATAAAAAAAAATCATGCTCAACTTGTAGAAGAAAATCGTTATATTTTATATTAATTAAATGTAATAATAATTTAAAACTTGTTACATAATAGTTACTACTAATACTAACTATAAATTTACATTAAATTGTACATGAAAGTTAGATACTTATAAAATATACTATCACAAAAACCTTTTCTTTAAGATATTTATTCCACCATCAATATTTTCTTTTTCATCTCATCAACTGATATTTTTGTAATACTAGTATACTACGTAACTAGTGTACTACCCGTAAGATGTGCGGGCTAGTTTTATTAAGATAAACATTTAAATTTGGCTGATTAAAAAAACGTAAAACACATGTATTGCAATAAAACAAATGTAACTTATATATTATTAAACATCAGTAATGCTCCCCTACCTACAGTGGGTACATGTTAATGTGCCCACCGCTTATGTTGCATGCACACATTGGTGGTGTTAATACCAATGTGTGCATGCCACATAAGCGGTGAGCATATTAACATGTGTCCACCGTGGGTAGGGGAGCATTACTGTATTAAACATATCCTTGTACACAACATTACTTGTTTGGTCTTTCGGTATATTGTCTATCGCCACAAATTATAATAGGATTATAGATAGGCTTAAATAAATCAATTAAATTATTTAAGAAGATATATATGATATGATTTATACTGGTTTTATGAAGATTGCGCAACCAAATATAACGGAGATTGTAAAATGTCTTTCTTGATAATCTAGAGCCTTATTATTTAAAAATTATAAATTACATAATTTAAGGAAGGAAAAATTGTGTAAGCGTAAGTAATAATTTCAAACTTGTATTTTATAAGATATAAACAAAAACCCAAATTTTTAGGATGTTGTAATTCGATTTCATTTAAAATTTTAAATTAATATTATTTGACTTTGTTTTATGTTTAAAAAAAATTCGAACTAAAGAAAATAATAGCCAAATGATAAGAGATTTTTAAATTTTAATTTTCAATTTGAAAGTGGGCCCGATTTCTATGCAATTTGATATTTTTTAATAAACATGATATGTTGCAATTAGGTAAAGATACGTGTTATAGTATTTTGCCAAATGTGAAATTCTCGATTTTATGGTAAACAATTTTGTTTCATAAAAATGACAAAATTTTGACTTTTACAAAATTGGCATGCCGAATTTTACCTAAATTAACCTGATTTCTATCCAATCTTATATTTTTAATAAACAATTGATCTGTTGCTTTTTGCAAAAGATATATGTGATAGTATTTTGCCTAATTCGAAATTCTCAATTTTATGGTAATCATTTTTTTTAATAAAAATTGTGAAAAAAAAAATTGTAAAATTGTAAACATCAATCAAAATTTACCTAAATTAAATCCAAATAACCCATGAACTAGAGTGAATATATA